ACTTACAAACCTCCTGTCTCACTCTTGGAGCATGCTGAGATGATAGGCATGTTCTACCATGCCTAACTCATAGTATTTTATATGAACACATCTACATAATGACTTTTTAAAGATTTTACTGTATTTTAAAGGTTATGCTTTTATAAAATAACCATATCGAGGCTATTTTACATTTTTGCTTTGATTTACTGCAGTGTACTCATAAAAGAATTTTATATGTGTGGTATTTTATAATTTTACTCTAGAATCTATATTTCATTCAAAATAAGATAGATGTCCTACAGTTCTTCCATTTACTATGTAGATTCTCACAAAACTGTCTTAACTTGAATGTATCCTCTTTTTAAGTATACCTTTTCCTTTTCGATCCATTTGGAAAAGCTTTTAAGTATGTAAGCAAGATATCAAAATTTAAGACAACACAAGACCATCCTTCTTACATGAAATATAGCAGAAGAATGGACTTTCCAGATTTTTCATATAGTAAGAGAGCAGTTCAGTTTATTATTATGGATGGAAGTAACTAGTGGATTCTCAAAAGAAGGTGGAAGATGTAAAGATAGGATTTAGATAAGGTTATGGGAGTTGCAGGAGCAGCAGTGACAAGGAAAAAAGGCAGGAACATATAATTAGGGAGATGTGACAGGGACTAAAATAGGTAACAGGATTTGATTTGTAATAATAGGTGAATGAGTTGATAGTTTCAGCAAGAGATTAAATCTTCAGCGTTTCATCCTGGGATAAACTGATAAAGGGTTCAAACCAACATGGTAAAGTGCCTAAACAGTCTTCTACAGCTTTACAAACATATGTTGCCTTCTTTAAAAAGTAGCATCCATTTCAAGGAAGAAAAATCTTCCTTCTGGGGGCAAAATATTGCTTTTTTCTTTTTGTTTTTTGGAACCGGGGAGTGAACTCAGACCCTTGCGCTTGCCAGAAGTGCTTATTCTACTGAGCCATCTTCCTGGCTCACTGGGGGCAAAATATTAAGCACACTCAGTAGTGGATTCTCAAGAAATGTGAGGTAAAGAGTGAATTTTTTTGCATGATTGGCAGACACAAGGTAGAACTGAATATCCCACAGGATCGTACTTGGCGCAGTGCATGGGTAACTATGTGGTAGAGAAATGGCTTAAGTCAGTATACGTGGCGAATGTCTTTAAGTAAACATTTAAAAATATACAATTATTAGAGGAGTGAATAACCTGTAAATTCTAGAGTGAATCTGAGTGCTTCATTAGTCTTTTTTTTTTTTTTTTTTTTTTGGAACTGGGGATTGAACTCAGGCTCTTGTGCTTGCCAGGAAAGCGCTTATTCTACTGAGCCATCTCCCCAGCCCCTCATTATTCATTCTGAAGGTATTAAATTGGATATCATGCAGAAAATCATATTAAGGAAGGTGTAAAAATTTCTTAAATTTGTTTGCTTCCTTCTGGATCTTCACAAAACACAACACAATAGTCTTTATTTCAGGCCAGGTGTGTTAACACATGCATATAACCCCAGAACTAGGGAGGTTGAGGCAGGAGAATCATTGACAGTTCGAGACCAGCCTTGGCTACAAAATGAGCTCAAGGCCGGCCTGAGCTGCATAGCAAGACCTTGTCTCAAAAAGAAAAAAGAAGGTAAACACAAAGATGATCAATTTTTAGCTTAGAAAAATGAACATCAATTAATTTACCAATTTTAATAGCAGTGATGGGAGTAAAAATATAATTTATAATAACATGTATGGAGTGCATTGTCAGAAAGTGTAGATGATATAGTCAGAAAAGTAACCTATCAGACACATGCCTGTAGTCCTGGCCACTGGGTGGGGAGGGTGACGCAGCAGGATTACTTGGGCCCAGCAACTCAGAGTCAGCCTGGGCAATAGAGCATGACCCTGTCTCTTAAACACAACAACAGAACTCACTGAAAGTTAACTGTAAATGGCAGTTGTTAACCACTTAACAGTCTACTCTGAGTGGTCATTCAGGCAGCATGTGTGTTTACTTACTATCCAGGTATTGTTTGGGCAGGTGGCATTTAAACCACTTGATTCTTATACTGAGTAAGCTTAATGAAATTGTTTTTATATTTTCTGTTATCTTTTGAAATTAATGAAAAATATAAAATTTTTGATCATCTCATATTTAAATAATTGGACTTGTAAGTGGTTAAATACAGATCTTAAGGCTTTCTGGTTAGGAAATTCAGTGATCTAAATTGGGTACATTCAGTTCAACAAAACCTACAACTCTTTGTGGTTCACAGCCAAATTTAGTAAACTGGCAGCATACCCTGACTTAGCCTTCAGTACAGTTCTAAGCCTCTCAACATTTGTGATTTATTTGATTGGTCCCAGTACCATTAGCCAGCCAGGATGAATTGTCCAAGGATTTAGCAGCAGAAATAAGCTTACCAGTGATTCTGCTTGTATCTAGTTTACCTTGTTTCCTCTGCTTTGATTGGACCCAAGCCAGCTTACAGTGGTTGGATTTCGGGGCAGTAATATACTTGTATATATGTAAAAATATTTAACTGTTTGTTTACCACGTCAGGTTTAAAATTGATTAATTTTTATTTTCAGTTCTTTTTTTTTAATGTACAGTATATACTACACAGCTTAGACTGATAGTGATTTTTCAGCCTTCCCAGCGCTGCGATTACAGGCGTGCTCCACCATTCCTGGACTTGGTGCTGCCTCAGCACGCCCAGGGGCAGGGCCAGTGTAGCATGCGGTGCCAGGGATTGGATCCTGGCCCCTGCACTTGCCTAAGCAGGCACTTAGTCTGCTGAGCTATGCCACTAGCTTTCGATGGCTGATTTTTAATCGTAAAGATGCTGCTATAGATCATTGCTATGTTTCATGTATGCTAAAAAAAAAAAAAATTCTGAATGATCAGCAACTTTATAACTACTTTGTATTTTTATGAATACAATAGCATGGTATATAGAAAAGCACAAATCTTTTCATTATACTAAAGTGACTGGGTGTCCTAAAATAAAATATTCAAAGTGTTAAAAAATAATACTAAAACAAATAAAAGCTAGTGTGTCAGGCACTGTCCCAAGCACGTCTCAATGCTACATGTTATCTCATCCTCACAACAATCCTATGAATAGGTGTTTTTTATTAATCGTTTTGCAGAGAAATTGACCTGAGGGAGCACAGAGAGGTTAAGTAACTTGCCCATTATTTATAGGAATTTTGTTGATTTGCATGCTTGCTTTAATCCAGGGCTACCTTTAATAACTATTAGGAGGTAACTTATTTTCATGTTTGAAATTAATCTTTTATTTATTCGGTGATTCTTTTTTTAAGAAATTTGACTTTTTCTATCTTGTTCTCTTACAAATAAAATGTTCTTTATATTTTTAACCAGGAAGTCAAGTGGCATATAGAAATCACTGTATGGTCTTAAAATGGAATGTTCAAATTATGGAAGAATATGACAATTTAAATTAAGTAAAGAATTTATAGCCTCCGAATATAGTGTGATGATTTGTTTGATAAGTAAAATTTCTGAAGCTGTAGTTTTTTTTAATCCTAAGAGTTTGTTTTATAGCTGCTACAAAGCTTTTAACATCGAAAGTTTTGGGGGCACAGAAAGAAATTCTGGCTTTTTTTGTTTTAATTGATGCATAGGTATTTTAAAACTTTGACTCGGTTTCTTTAGGTTTCAAGCTCAACTTAGCATTTTTGAAAATAATGCTTTCACTAAACCTTCAATTAACCTTTTTATACTGTCAAGTTGAGTTTGCTGAAACATCTTTTGAGGTTTAATAAAATATATAATGAAAAGAAAATACACAGTGAACTAAAGGCATAAATAAAATACCTGCTTCCTGCAACTGAAAGGAGGAGAGGTGTAGGTTGGCTTACGGCTTTCAGACTGTTGAGTTCATGGTTGTTTGGCTACATGCCAGACCAGCGTGTGGAAAGGCAAGGCAGCGGAGGAGGCACCTCATGGCAGCCTCGGCAGGCAGCGGGAGGAAGAGCTGGAAAGCGAGTGCATCCTTCCTGGCTCTGCCCCTGTGACCTGCCTCCTCGAGACAGCCCCCACCTTGGAGCAGCAGTCAGCTCGATTACCATTTGACTAGTCCACTCATGCAGACAGCAGCCCCACTCGACAGTCATCTTCTAAAAACCCCACCTCTGAACATGAGACTTGGGGGCATTTGAGAACTAAACATCACAAAACTAAGTAAATCTCACAAATCTAAATCTAGTCAGTTTTATTAGGCTCAAACTTAACATACCAAGATCTTCTAAATGTTAATGTTATTAAAGTATTATAATGAAAACGAAAGATTTTTGAAAAACTCTTTATGACCCTTGTTAAAAAAACTCCCCAATGCAGACAAACTGTCAGGTGTTACTCAGTTCTTAAGTCTGTCTTGATTTTAAACCTAATACAAACCACTCATATTATGGGTAACATTTAACTCTTCAACATGTCATTTCTTTATCCCTAAACAATTACTCAAAAAGGGTGAGTAGAATTTTCCCCCTTCCAGCCTTCTACCACAGCTCAGATTATATGTTTGGCATAAATTCAGAGCAGGGCAGGGGATCTGTGTCAGTCTACTGGCCAGAGTGTGCATAATGTGAAGAGCCCACCTTATTTCCTTGTAGTTAGACTGCACCATTGTGAACAGGTTAAATTCTCTCATGTGAATTTAACTGAATGTTTAATTTTCAGTTGTGTGTTTTGTTTTTTTGCAACCTGGTTCTTTTCCTGGAAAGTATGCATTCTTTTTCTTTTAGGTTACACTTCATCCCTTTTTAAATGGGATTGTCTAAATCCAATTATATACACACTGTGTAACCTTTGGCATTAAAGCCTATTTGTATATTAATGGGGTTTTGTCACCCTGTCTAGGTTACAGTAGTATCCCTTTCTCTTTTACATAGCTATCTCATTTGGCCATCAGTCATTTTATTGACAGTGATGATCAAGTTTAGCTTTTAACCCCTTTAAATTCACAAAGCCAAAATGATTTTTCTCTCCTAGGAATGCCAGAATCACCTCCGCAGATATGGAAATGTGAATCTGGAACTGGTGACTCGAATCATTAGAGATGGTGGCCCATGGGAAGATCCAGTGTTGCAAGCTGTACTTAAAGCCCAGCCAACATCTCAGGAGATAGGTACTTCAGGAGATTCAAAATCAAAAACATTTGTGAGAACAATTTCTAGAGCAGTAATAGTTACTCTTTTATTTTATAATACTGAATATTGAAATGTACTTTCAAATGAAAACTGTTTAATTTGTTATTCTAACTGGGCCCAAAGTGATTTTTTTTTTTTTACATCAAATTAGATACATTTATATCTAGTATGGGAATTGAGTGTGTTAGCATCTGTACTTGATATCACTTATTTACAGGGAGTTTTTATCACTTCAGTTATACTTTAAAAATTTGCTTAAGTAGGAACATCCTTATTTACAAAAAGTCCCAAACCCTCCAGAACAAAAAGTCTATCCTGTTCCATATTATATCTCCCTTCCATAGAAACTCCTGTGAAGGGTGGAACCTTGAGTGAACAGTGGTCTGGTCTACAGTTACTCCAGTGCATAGTGCAAAGCAGATGTTTAATACAAATATTCTTTAGTTGAATGAACATGTGGTGCATGCATGAGTGAGGGAACAAAATTTCGGCCCCAAATATTATACAGTAGTATGTCCCAAACTTTATCTAAGTTTTTGTCTTACCCCTTATGACCTACATCCTTTGACATCACCTTCTGTCCTCATGAAAACATTTGTTTTCGAAGCAGGAAGCTTTGGTATCTGTTTTTAGTAAGGCCTTTAAAAACATGTTTCCTGCTGGGTGTGGCAGCACACACCTGTAATCCCAGCACTAGGGAGGCTGAGGCAGGAGGATCAGGATCCGTGTATATTCAAGACCAGCCTGAGCTACAAAGTGAGCTCAAGATGAGCCTGAACTGCATAGCAAGAGCCTGCCTCAAAAAGACAAAAAACAGAAAATTTTCCTATAATACTAAAATTTTCTGAACTCTAGAATATTTTGAATAACAAAAACTTAAGAGTGTAAGCTTAGTAGTAGTAAGTAAAAATGAAAATGTGGGAACACTTGAAAGTATAGGGAGAGCCTACTGAGGTGTAGTTGAAAAAAATCTAAAGAGAAAATATAAGACCTCACAACCCTGTAACCAGCCAGACTTTGGTAAGAAAATCTTTGCAGCCTCGATTATGCAGCTTAGGACATTTCCATTTGTTGTAGGTAAATAGGCAGGCTGGGATGTGAGTAGTGCTATTCAGAGAAGCAGCTATGATTCTTAGGTGTAAGAGCACGTCTCCCCGCAAGTTTGGAGCTGTGGTAGAGACAGAAAGAGATGACCAGGAGAAGTAGTGCAAGGTAGTGGGACAGGATGCAGGGGAATAAGACTAGGGAAAAGACTGAGGTGTATGCGACAGTTATGGAAAACCCAGAGAATGCAACGGAGATTGGTGCCTGATGTGTAGGTCCTGGAAAGGGATTCAAAGAAAAGAGAGGGCGACAGTGGGAGCTGAGCAAAAGCAGATGCATTATTGAAGAACGTAGAAAAAAATCAAGTATAGCAAAAATAAGCATAGACTAGAGGAAAGTGGCCAGAAGGAACAGGATGGCATCAGAGCTCCAGAAAGAGCTGAAGGAGAAGAAAGTTGGAGCTTTTAAAAGTTTTAAGATTTCTGGGAGCGGGAGCTAAAGCAAAGCTGTTGTTGGTTATTCTTGCACTTGAGGCCAGGAATCATCAGTCTAATGCCTGTTCCTTTCGTAACTACCCAGCATACCTCACTTTGGGGAAGCTGCTCGAGACCCTTCCTGATGTGGACGAGTCTTTGCATTCACTTCATGGCAGTGTTTTATTAGTATACATTGTAAACAGAATTGCAAGGTAGATGTTTAAGACAAAATAAAACATCACTTAATGAGTACTTTAGTGGCTACCAATTAAACATAGTAAGAAATTAAAATACTTCCAGATTTATAAATCTCTGCCACTTACATATGCTTTGTCTGTGGGCAAGTTATTTGACCTCTCTGAGATTGTTTTGTGACCTGTGAGACAAATACTGAAATACCTGTCATAAGGTTGTTGTTAGGTCTAAATAAACTTATATAGCTAAGGCATTTATGTTTCAAAACTGAAAGTAAGTGTATGTTAAATTAGAGATACATGAATGTATTAGTAAACAGACTTCTATGACAATATTTTTTAATTTTATTGTAAAAGTTATATATTATGACTCAACTTTTTCATTAATTTTTTGTTTACATTTCTCCATAATCTGAATGTGGTTTTAATGTGATCATTTAAGATTTAACCTTTTAATCTTAAAGTAATGAAAATATTGAGGCATAAGACAAACACTGCAATTTTAGACTGGAAATTCACCTTAGACCTCACTAGTTGAAATACAGTTTAACACAGTATTGAAGAAGAAAATTTACTTCTTCCTCTTTTTAAAATTTTAGTTTTGGTTTTTACTCTTTGGCCTGAGAAATCAACTGATATTTCTTAAGCACTGTTTTGGTGTCACTTTTGTTTTCCCAACTATAAAACTGAATGTTCTTTTTACAAAGATCTACTAAGAAAAGTACCTAATCAAGTGACTCACTAATCAAATTGATACCATCTTAATGGTAAAGTTTCAACAAAAAGGTTTGAATCTTTTCTTGAAGGTAATTGAATGTGTTTTCTTTTTAATATAGTGAACAAATACTTAAGTTCTGAAAATCCACTGTTCTTTGAACTACGCGCCAGATATCTAATTGCTTGTGAACGCATACCCGAAGCGATGGCTCTCATTAAATCCTGTATAAACCACCCAGAGATCAGTAAGGACTTATACTTCCATCAAGCACTTTTCACATGTCTGTTTATGTTACCTGTAGAAGAGCAACTATTCCAGCAGGTATTGAGAGCTGCGTTGTGGTTTTTTGCATATTGCCTTTTGCACTTCTAAAAAGGGGGAATAGCTTGCTAGCACTGATTTTCTTTTTCAGTAATTTCAGTTATTTAAAAGATCATATTATCTAGATGTGTTCTCCTTTGGTACTATCCTTTAAGTTCACTTTAAATTAGTACAGTCTGCTACTAACAAATAATAAAATGAACAAAATACACTCATTAAGAAGCATTATCCAGGGCCGGCCAAATAACTCAGTGGCTTAAAACTCCTGCAGACAGGCACAGGGGCCAGGGATTAATCCCCAGGCCTGCCATGCTGGCCCTATCCCCAGGGCATGCTGACATGGAGATTGACTCTGGGCATGGTGACGCACACCTGTGATCCTAGCTCTTGGGAGGCTGTGAACAGTAGAATCACTGAGTCAGATCTAGTAGTGAGACCCTGAAGACCCTTCCTTGAAATACAGAAATAAGTAAATAAAAATTTTTAAAAAGGAAAAGAAGCATTATTCAAAAATGATTTTAATATTTCTTTTTAATCTTATTTATTTGGTACAGGGTCTTGATCCTCCTGACTCAGCCTCCCCAGTGCTGGGATTACAGATGTGTGCAATGACACCCAGTAGCCAGCATGAGTTTCTGGGGGTTGAACCTGGGTCCTTGTGCTTGCCAGGCGGGTGCTTCTATCGCTGAACTATTTCCTCAGCCCCCTCAAATTTTTTTGTTGTTGTTGTGTTTAGTACAGAGTACTAAAGTACACAAAATCAGACTTGTAGTGATCCTCCTGTTCTCAGCTTCCCAAGTGCTGGGATTACAGGGCTGTGCGACCACACCCTATCTCAGTCCCCAGCTCAATGCCCCCTGGGGGCAGGGCTGGCATGGCACACCGGGAATCCAACCCCAGTCTGGGTACCTACCTAAGCAGGTGCTTTAGTCTGCTGAACTATCTGACTGGCCCTCCCCTCAAATTTTTGATGCTGAGTTTTTTCTTTTCTTTTCTTTTGGTAGGGGGAAAGTACTAGGATTTGAACTCAGGAGTTTGCACTTCCCAGGCAGGCCCTGTGCCCCTGAGGTATATCCCTGACCCTGTATTATCCAAATTTTTGTTATGACAGATGAGGTCAGAGAAAATCTGGGAGGCATTCCCATTTTGCCTCTTAAAATACTGAGCCTGGCATGGTAACGCACACCTGTAATCCTACAACTCAGGAGGCTGAGGCAGGAGGATTGCTGTGAGTTCAAGGCCAGTCTACATTACAGTCTCTTCAAGGCCAATCTGAACTATACAGGGAGACTCTTATCTCTAAGTACATAAATAAACAAAGAAATTGAATGCTCACATTCATTTTTTTTCCTAAGTGAAAGATGAATTCTTTCTTACCGTAAACCCTATGTAAGGCCATGGAATTAATCAAAATACAAATATTTAGTATAAAATGTTGATGGTGTACGGTGAAACTATGAAATCATAGAAGTATTGTGTATAATTAATCATGTCTTTAGAAAAAAACTGGAAATATACGTACTTCTGAATATTTACTTTAAACATTTATTATAGCTTTTCAGATATTGTGGATAATGAGAATTCTTTTTTCCGTCCCTCTTACAGCACTTACTGGAAACCGACTGTAGGAGTGGGATCGACATCATCTGCAACACGGAGAGGGAAGGCAAGACAGCGTTGGCCCTGCAGCTGTGCGGGTCCTTCCTCGTGTCCCAGCTCCAGAACGGCGCCATGTACTGCATTTGGTAAGTGTCCTGCCACCGAGACTGCAGTGGCGGCGGGGAGGGGCGGGGGGCTGAGGGCGGGGGCTTGGGCCTGCTGTGTGTTCTCAGAATTATGTGAAAGTGTTAAGCCTTTGTACGATTAGAAAATTGTGTAAAGAACAATACATGATTAAGAACTATAATTAAAAATTCATTCCATTAATTGTTAAATATTAAGTATGTCTTACAATAAAACATACATACATTTATTTGTTTGTTTAGTTATGGGTTTGTTTTCAGACAGGGTCTCTCTCTGTTGCCCAGACTGGCTTCCAGCTCACAGCGAGCCTCCGAGTGCTGGGATTCTAGGCGTGTGCTGCTACACCTAGCTCAGACGGTCATGTTTGAAATTCATTTTTAAATTTGGAGCATTTTTTTTAAACATTGAAAAAACTAAAAGTTGTTAGGATATATGAAGTAGCAATTTATCTTGCAGTTGTCCAATTTAAAACATGGTGCAGGAATAATTTTAGTAAACGTAACCATGAGTGTAATTACAAGAGTGTAATAACTTGTGTATCTCCTTTCCTCCAGGACGCGCGTGTGCGCACACACACACACACACACACACACTCTTTCTCTTTCCCTCCCCTGCTCCCTCCCTCCCTCTTGCTGTCCTCCTGGTAGCTCTCCCTACTACCACATTGCCATTTCATTAATTCTTAAGAGAAAACTAACTTTCATTTGCTGAACATAATACCTGAAATGATCATGAGCTATATTAACTTTTTTTGAAATAAATGACTTGAATTTTAACTTCTTACATTGAACAATAGCCTAGAAGCACACAGTTCCAAATGATACTTAAGTATAATTGTTTTGCAGATTAAAATTTTTAGATGTAGAAACAGAGTTCTGTAACTACTTAACAATAGAACTAGGTGTAGAAGCAAATACTCTTTTAGGGAAGCATACTTTTAGATGGTGCCAGTTTTTCCTCAGAAGTGTACCATGTCAGCCACAGCTGCAGATAGTGAAAGGATGGGGAGGTGGTGGTGGTAAGATGCACACTCAAAATGATTTTCAGGCCAAGTGTGGAAGCACACTCCTGAAGCGCCAGCACTTAGGCGGCTGAGGCAGGAAGACCGCCGTAAGTTCGAGACCAGCTTGGCCTACATAGTGAGCTCGGGGAAGCTTGAACTAGAGAGACCTTTCCTTAAAAACCAAATAAATAAAGGTAAAATCATTTGTTTCAGTATATTATCATTGTTTGATATGCAGGTACTATGAAGTGAACCATAGTTATGACTGTTACTAGATCCTCTCCTATGGCCATAAAAATGTTCTCTCCTCTTAGCTTTGTTAAGCTCTTTAAATAGGGTATCTTTAACCTTTTTATTCATAAGTAACTAGAATCAAGTATGAAAAATGGGCAAGGAAAATGCACTTCATTTTCTTTTTCTCTTAGCTAACCAATTTCTGCTCTATTGTGGGTAAGCTTAAAAATGGAACAATACCTGACTTCTGGTTCCTGGCCACAGAAATCCTTAAAGAATAGATAGAAGCTGGGTGTGACTCAGGCTGCCTAATAAGAAGGGAATCTTTACTTTTGGGCCTTTCCTTGTGAATAGTCTTGAGTTCTGATAGCCTGCCCTCCTCTCTCTCCTGTCTCTCCATTATGTTTCTGAATTCTGGGGTTATTTTTCTTGCTGTTAAAACTTGCGGTTTTCACTGTACTTTGAATAACAGAGTTCCTTTCATCCTTCAAGGTCTATGCTGTCTGTTGCACACAGGCTTGCTCTTCATTTCCCCTCTTTGTGGACAGAACCACATCCATGTACACCATTCTTGCTTCACTGTCCCCAGTAGTAGTCATAATGATGATAATAGCAGGTACTAACATCTAACGAGTGCTTCATGTGTTCTGTACTTTATGCATTGTCTCATTCAATCCAACGTTCTTATGGCACAGATAGTACTGTATTCAAACTATTCCTTTAGGAAATAATGAAGTCAGTATTCAAATCCAGGGAGCTTGACTGACCTCAACCACTGAACATTATATACCATACATGGATCAAGTTTAGGGTAAGGAAAGCATACATTGTAGGGGGGACTGTAGACTCTGTTACAGACTTTTCCTAGGAACTAGAGAATTTGATGATTCTGTTAGTAGACACCTACAGCTACCTGGGAATTGTATTGGACACTGATTTAATGCTGTGTTTTCTAAAGGTCTGTCTAAAAGCAAATGTAATTTTCACTAAACGTGCTTTTTGAGCCAGACAAGGTGGAACATGCCTGAAACCTAGCTAAGGAGGCTGAGGCAAGAGGATTGTCACAGTTCAAGGCCAATCTTAACCCATGGCGATCTTGTCTGTCTCCAACACAATCAACCTGCCCTTTGCACTTCCAAACAAAGACACTACCAGTGGTTTTGAGGATAATTTTTCCTTCAGAATCCAATGTACAAGTAAAACTTGAGATTTTATTTTGTACCTTCATTGAAAATGGAATTTTATAACCTTATTCTGAGATTTCTTCTTTGCCTACTACAAGGCCTGAAGTCCATCAAGTAGCCCTCTCCTGGCAAATCTGTTAGGATCTTGGGATATATATTTGTTTTGCAAGTTTTCCCCTGGCTTAACAGAGATGAAAGGAAATAAGGTATTTGTACTTAAAAAGAAAAAAGAAATTTGCCCTAAGAATGGAGACTCTTCTGTAAGGAGTCTCAAATTTATCTTTTGGAAAAAGTTGGAAAATAAATGAACATACACTTTTTGAATATGTTAAATATGTATCTGTATGGAGCTGAGTGGAATCTCTCTCATGACTTCCAGCGGTTTTCTTGTGTGGAGACCCATTGCACAGATGCGCTTTTCTTGTGCAGTAGAACTGGTCCACTCTCCTTCTACACCAGGTCACTTTTCTCAGTGTTTATCTTTTATCTCAAACCACATGTATAATTTCTGTTAATGTATCTCCTTGAGAGGCTGCAGCAGCTAGGAATACAGTAGTTACAAGACTATCAGGCTGAGGATATTGGTCAGTCCTGGAGCATTGCCTACCACGTGACGGGCCCTGTGTTGATCTCCAGCACCAACACTATAACAACAACAAAAATTAAAATTTACCATATTATCATTTTACAGATATTTACTGAATAAATCTCATTGTTTAGTATTATGAAAACTAGTGATATGCTAAATATCAATATATACCAGAATTTAGACCTAGATTTTTTAAATCTCTTAATCCTTTTAATAAAGATGTTGAATAAAATATATTGAGCATTGAATTTTTATCTTATTTTGAATTTCAGTCACTACCTGAGCATCAATAGTTATCTTTAAACATCTCTTCTTGATAACTTCTGAAACCAAAGAAGTTTGGTTAAAATAAATGTATCTTTAAAATCATCTGTTTGCAAACATTAAAATGTGTTTCAAAACTAGAAGGAAAAAACATAAGCGGGGAGAATCTCAATTTTTATGTACGAAATAGCCAGGTTGAAGAGAAAAAAGTTGCACAGCTACCACTAGTACAAAATGAAGTTGAGATTTACATGAGTTAAGTTTGCAAGTAATAGCATCAGTGTCTAACTAGTGTAGGGAAAAGGAAATATTTATTTCAAGCACAGTGGAGTGTGACATGATCCAGTGAGGGAAGGCTACAGCTGATCCTCAAAGATGCCTGTTTGCAGGGAAACTGAGACTGCTTGTGTTTTTCAAGCATTTGTTGTCTGTCTGGTTTTCCTTCAGGCTGTCCTGCTGCAGACCAATGGGAATGCCAGTAGTACCCAGGCCTCAGAGTGGAGCTGAGAACAGCCCAGGGATTCTAGGCTACTGGGGTCAGCCCGTTCTGGAATCAGTCTTAAGGAAAGAGGTGAAGGTCACATAGGAGACATGGCCACTCTTGTGTATTAGGGTTATTCTCTAAAGAGTGGCTCGTTCTTAAGTGGGATAGTATTATTCCAGTTGGCATAAAGTAGTATTGAAACTAAATTCTCAGTTACTCCCAACCTTACATTGTTGCCCCTACCACAATGTCATTGAGGAAATTTACAGTATATTAATAGTTGGGGAAATAGGACCTATAAAATTACATAGGGAAGCATATGAAATTAGAGAGAGAAGATGTATTCTGAAGTAGTATCACTTAAATTTTAGGGCAGTCATGAAAACTTTCATGAAAAGTTCCTTGATACAGCCTTTCAAAGAAAACATTATCTTCAAAATGAAGAAATACTTTGCTAGTAGAGCACCTGGAATGAGCAAATGTGAGACTATATGAAACCCTTTTACTGACAGTGAAGGGACCAACCTAGAACATTCAAGATTTGAATACTGTTCTTTCTGACTTCAAAACCCATGTTTCAGTGGCTGTTAACACTAAATAGCATAAATGAAATGATCAGGAAGGCTAGAAACAGATAAAGGTAGCAACCACTGTACATGTGTAAAATTAAAGAACATAGCGAAGGCTGAGAACAAATGTATTTAAAATATACTGGAAACACATGAGGACCTAAGAGAGTAATAGAATGTTCAATGTCATTAATTTGATCGCCAGACAAAGATCATCAATTCTGAAGTAGTATGTTTTTATTTTTAAGTGTCGATGTGATAGAAAGCTAAATTGAAGTACACAGGCATGGAAAATAGGGAAAGCAGTTGAAGCAGTACATTAAGGTGATCAACGTGGTGAATGCTCTAAAGGAGCATGTATACTAAGGGTGCAGAAGGGGCCTGCGGCAGCTGAGACTTGACATCTATACAACTCACATAGAATTGTGGTTTTATGTTTTATATGTTGCTTCACATCATCTATTTCATGTTTTCTTATTGTCTCAAGTAGACTGGACCTTCGTCATGGTAATCAAGATGTCTTAATTTTTTGTGGGGGAGGCAGGAAGTAGGATTTTTTGATGGGGATGACTAAGCAGGGGCAGCACAGTGGATGTCCTTACAAGTATAGGGCTGCTTCTTGTCCAGGGAACCTTTGCCGGGGATGTATCTGACTCCATAGACATCTAAGATGAGTCCCTACTCAGCCACTTGGAGATGTGGTCTTCTGTGACCAGAGAACTTGAACGTGAGCCCCGGCTAGGGTATCAGTCACATGCTCCTTATTCTGTAACTTGATACAGATGCAAATGGTAACCTGGCCTCGGTGATTCCCACCAGCTGTAAACTAGGGCTTTCTAAAAGCAGTATGCGTGCCTGTTTGGAACCCTAGATTTGGAACAATCAAGTTTAAAGACATGAAGATCACTGAAGTGCCCTATTTCCAGCAGACTCTCAGGGTAACCCAAACAAGCAACATTCTAGGTACATAACCAAGGGTGTTGCTGTTAGCAGCCACTGCACACCAGGCTCCTATAAGGTAAGGAGTCAAGTCAGCTTAAATAGCTACAAATGTCCACAGATTTAAATACTATATGTGCTGGCCTCAAAGTACATACTCAGTAAATCACCCCTTAAAATTTTTTTCATCAATTTTTTTAGTACTTTCAGATTATGATGCTTGTATAATTTTTATGACAAGTTTTAAAGAACTGTGACTTGCTAAAATATCTTTAATCTTAGTATGTCTATTATATCTTATGATTTGTCCCAAACTCGCTGTTCTTAACCTTGTGTATCCAATAATTTTGGCCGTATCTTAGAAAAAAAAAAAAAATTACCTGTAAAGTGCTTTAAATGGTATTCAGCTCTTTCATGACTTTATAAGTTCTGATAAAAACAGAGCAAATGCTGCAGCCCAGGGCGTCCAAAAGAAAGGCAGGCTCATAAGAACATTTTTGTGTGCCTTGGTCCACCTCATTCGCTGAATCTGGGACTGTCCACCAGGACTCTTCCCCCGAAATCAAAGTGAGCAGGAATGGGAAAGGTTTGGAATCAGTTTAAGGAATAGATGCACCCGGACAGCACAACTAAAAACACTCACCAAGAGTGACTTCCAGAGCTGCTTCCCCGAGTGTCAAGGACTCTGTGAAGTGAGTGCTGAACGCCAAGAGGGAGTGACTTGTGGGGGTAATGGCAATGTGCCTTTTATTGTCATAATTTTAAAAAAAAGTTCGTATTTTTCAGTCATACAAAAGTAAATGATCAAAAATAGTTTCAGAATCAATATATAATTTAGACTTTTGATCTGTATTACTTGGTTAGTAAATTTGCAAGTATGATTTTAAAGGCCAAAATTGCTGTTGTTATTGGTACACTGAGACTAAAATGTGTTGTTATCCAATAATAGAGCTGTTGTAATTGGTACACTGAGACTAAAATGTGTTGTTATCCAATAATAGAGCTGTTGTAATTGGTACACTGAGACTAAAATGTGTTGTTATCCAATAATAGAGCTGGTGTAGTTCGTTACTTATCATTGCAGAATTGTGCATTTTGTCTTCTTTGCCCCACCTTCTTAGTCTCACCTCAGTAGCGGAATTCTATTGGGATTAGCATGATACATATTTACTTCTACTTTGTGAGTGTCCTAGCCAGGGCACCATGAAACCAGGAAGAGATAGTTAATGTCTGTATTTTAATAAATTGTAGTTTTGATATTTCTCTTTTTTTTTTCATTTACAGGGAGTTGATTTTCATATGGAGTAAACTACAACTTAAATCTAATCCTTCAAAACAAGTTTTTGTAGATCAATGCTACCAGCTTTTAAGAACAGCAACTAATGTGAGAGTCATATTTCCTTTCATGAAAATCATTAAAGACGAGGTAAATAGGATATATTTATCCCTTAAATTTTAAATTAAATTCAAATGCTAGTTCTCTGAAACATGAGTCTCCTAAAATACTGAAGGTAAGGAGGATTTTAAGGCCACATTCTCCACGAATTACCTCCTTCTCTCCCCCAGTTTCTAACATAATATAAAAGATATACATAAAATAACTGAAGTAGAGAAAAAAAGCCAATTTTTTATTAATTAAAACTAATATGGGAATTATTAAGAAGCTATTATCCATTTTTATAATTAAACAAGCTTGTCATATTTAACATGCTAAGTCCCATTTGTAGAATCTTAATTTGCTAATTAATTGTATATGTAATATGTCTTCATTTAACAGAAACTTAGTTCATACAGCTAACTGGTGTTGGTCAAAAAGAAAAATGAATTCTGAGATGCTTTTAAAATTTAGGGAAAGTTTTAAGGGATTTACCTGAAGTATTTACAAAGATTTACTACTTGTTTTTAAAACAGTCCTCAACCAAGTTTTCTGGGGGACTATTTTATTTACCTTCTTATTACTGGAATGGAATATCTGATAGCTATAATTTTTAAAGGAAGGGAGGTTTATTTTTGGCTCAAAGTTTATAGAGGTTTAAATCTATAGCTAGCTCCAAGGCAGGGCAAGATACCAGAGAAGCAGATAGACATGTCGTCAAAAAGCAGCGAGAATAAAGTGGGAGGGAGGTAGACCCCTCTAGGCCATGCCTTTGGTGAACCACCTCTCCAACCAGGCTTTGCCTCCCAAATCACACTGAGCTATAAACTCAATAGTGAATTAATCCATTGGTGAGTAGTACACTTCCATTATGTAATCACCTCGCTAAATCCTCCCCTGTGAGCACATGAAGTTTTATGGGGGGTTATAGAGAAACAACAGCAGTCTACCCCAGGCCCTAAGAAGACAGATGTATGCAAAGTGCATTTAGTCCATGTCTAAGAGTTGCCAAAGTTATAGCAGTTTGCAGCATTGCCAAAAGTCAAATGTCACCTCTGAGGTTTAAGTAAACTTTGCTTTGTGAGCCCCTGTACAGATGAACAGAGTTAATGGCTTGCACTGTACAGTGGCACAGGATAAGCACTCCTACTCCAAAGGGGAGAAATGACATAGAAAGAAATGGAACTAAAGACCTACGCCTACTAGAGCAAACACTGAATCCCACAGTTACACTCTAGCATCCAGGGCAGTCTGGTGAGACATAAAGTCCCATGGCTCGGGTTTCTCCACCCTGATAGTCTGTCTCTTGGGCCAGCTCGGCTCACTCCTCATAGCTTTCCTCAGATATTACCTGTTCCTGGCTTTTCCAGTGTCCCTCAGTGTCACAGGACAGAAGCAAAGTGTAGAGATTTTTTGCATTTAGTAGATGATCTAGTGTAGTCATCTACCAAACTGTCCCCAAGATTAAAAGCCCCACCTGTGAGTGCATGAGGCGTTAAGTGGACATACAGATACAAACCGAAAGAAGGCTGTTGCGAATGCGTGGAATTCTACATATAAGTCTTTAAGTATAGTTGAAAGTAGGTCTTACAGATTCTTTAACTTTTTAATCTCAAATGGTAACATGAACTTAAATACAAAAATAAGAAAGATAAAGTCATCCTATGTTTTGTAGTTCCATATAATTGAATTTTTAAAATTTGGTTCCTTTGGAATCTGTAAGTACATTCAGAGCTCGTGGGGGCTCTAGCCGAGGAGCCCAGCTGCTCGCGTGTCCTTGCTAGAGGGCATGGCGCTGCTCCTCGGTGGTGCTGTGCTCTGTCGGACCCAGTGTGCAGCTTCAGGAGCACGCTCGCTCGTGGAGCGGTGAAGGAGGAAGGGGACACTGGCCTCGCCAGCCGGATCAGCCGGATGGGCTGCGGTGACCAGCGGGGGTGACAGATGTTGCAGTCAGATCGCCCTCACAACCACTTTTAAATAGATTAAGAAGCATCAAATGTTTTAGTTTTTTCTTGTAACTTCCTCTTAAAATTAACAAGACTTCAAGTACAAAGACAGTTCAACTATGTAAAGAGGTAGCCATTAAGTAATAACTTTTAGCTTTTTAGTATGTTAATGGCATTTATCACATTCGTTATCACATTACTCATTAGACATGTGACCCAATAGTGATCATGTTACCATGATAAAAAGGGTTTAAAAGAAAAACAAAACTTCAATTTCTTTTATGTGTTTTGCAACATCATTAAGTACTGAAATGTCATTCATACATAGTAGCAAAACTTTTCCCTCCCCCCCAACGGGGAAACTGTTATCAAACACTAATATATGGTATTCATCAGACTCAAGTATAAAATTTTATCTTTAAAAATAAACGTGTGTGTGTATATATATATCTATATATGGGTAGATACATAGATATGATTCTCATTTGCACCAAAAGTTGAGAGACACTATTACAGAAGTTACATTTTGCTGATTATTATACATCTTGCTTATTTTCACATGTCTGGTCAGCCTAAAGGTATGTTATATAAGGAAAATATCATAAAGACATCATTCATAACATTATGGTCTCAAGACGGATCCATTTTCCTACCAGTGACTAGTTTTTCTTTCATTATATTAGAGTAGTACTCCATTGTGTGTAAACATCACATTTCCTTTATCCATTCATTGTCGGTGGACAGATTGATTGATTCTGAGATTTAGCTGCTATGGATTGTGCTGCAGTGAACATGGATATGTGTGTATCCCAGTAATCTGATATCTGTAGCTCAGGCAGATAGCTAGAAGGGGAGTGCCGGGGCCACATGGAATTCCTAACTTTAGATGTGTGCAGAACCTCCGGACTGATGCCTGGCATGCCGAGACTACTTTACACGCCCGCAAACAGTGCAGTAGGGTTCCTGTCCACAGCCTTGCCAGCATTTGTTACTATTTGATTTCTTAATGATGACAAGCTTAGGTGTCACTTGTTTTCTCTTAACCCCAGATTATAAATTAAGAGCAAAATATTAATAGGAAGTATAGAGATATCTCTCTGTAAAATGGGAAAAGGATCAGGAGATGGATGGAGGGGAGACGAAGGGAAGGAAACAAGATGTGAAAAAAGAATTAGTATGGTTACGTACACGTACTTCCTCTACACAAGGAATGTAAATATTACCTCAAGTATGTACCCAAAAAAATGACAAACACAATTCTTAATAGCCTTCATTCGGTGAAAAGCGTTTTTGTCTTATATTCACATGCCACAAAAACGTTGAAAAAGGTGTAGTTACAATACTGTGTCAGTTCAGAAAGAGACATTACATGTGGCCTTTCTGAAAATGCTTCACAGGGAGGCGTACTGAGATGGCTGTTAGATGGTAGATGAAGACAGCACCACCATTCCAGGGGTTTTATAGTTTATAGAAAACTCTTTCATTTTCTGTTGCACAACTGTCCAGTGGCATGAACAACATAGCAGAGAAGCAAGGTGGAGTGGATGAGAGATGAGACTAACTGGGGAGATTAATGAGGGGATGGGGCATGGCCGTTGGAGACCCTAAGTGAACTGAATACACACTGTAAGTTGCAACTTCATTAATGTCCTGAAACCATTAAAGAGTCAGGTAAGAAAGCAGCTTCTTCCCTTTTTTGATGACCTTAAATTTTTAAATTTGAACATCTTGAGTACAGTTCAATCTTATAAGTCAAGATATAGGCTATAGATGTAACTTCGGAGGGGGGCAGATAAGAAATTTTGTCCTGAACCAGTGGATTTTGAAACTGTTATACCTAGAAAATGTGGGTAGCAATATTAATTATAATAGATACAAAAATTTGAATTCATTAAGGAATCCAAACCTGAGATGATGGATTGATAAGAGCAAGCTAAAGTCCCTAGAATAGAGCTGAGTCCCATTCATTTTGCAAACCTTCAGAGGTCGCTCTGTACCAACATTTATGCTAGCCATGGGAGGACACAAAAAGTGAGACAGTGTGTGCAGGGATTAAGGAATTCAAAGTGAAGCTTAGGCCAAGTACAGTTGCATACAATATCGAAGTGCCACTTAGAGATACATTATTCTTATTGGAAGGGCTATAGAATATTAGCTACACCTCAAAGAAAAGGCCAGAATGAATGAGACAATTTCAGAGTAGTACTGATTCTGAAATAAGGAGTAGGGCATCAGCATGTGTTTATTAGCTGGATACAGTGGGAATAGTAAGTGCAAAATTGAGGACTACTTATGTGACTAGTTAAAAAGAGAAACGTAGCATGTTACAGAACTATGACATGAAGCTAGAAAATTAGCCATAAGTAATAAGTATGTGTAGACTGTATGATTTTAAAGATATATTATTCTAGTGTTTTGTCCTATTCAAATAAGTATTTAGATTATTCTAAACTACTAGAGGCATTATTTATAACATGAACTAAGATGAATCAATAATGGAGTCAAAAATAAGAATTAAGGTAATACAGTTGTCTTTGAGCTATTAATAAAAATGTTCAAGCTGAGTAATTTTCAGATAATTTCCAGCAGATTTATTATTTTGATACTTTATTAGTTTTGGCAAGGTAATAATTGCCCCCTTCATGAGTGGCATATGTTTTTCCTTTATTTAGATAAATAATGTTCATCAAGGGGCCAGGGATATAGCTTAGTGTTATAGCATTTGCTTACCAGGAAGCCCAGGGTTTGATCTGAAGTACAAAAGAACCAAGAAGAGTCAATCATTAAAAAAATGATATAGTATTATAAATGTTTCCATGCTAGTTTTTTAAACTGAGTTATTTCTTAACATGAAAAATCGTATGTTATTCACCATAAGTTTATCAAGCATTTTGTATTATTGCTAGTAGGGCTTGTCAAACTTGGTAATTCAATAAAGTAGAAGCTAAAATGCTGTCTGTTCTAGATGACTCTTGCTTAAAAAAAGATATATATTGAGCAAGATAATGCCACCTATTGAAGAAAATTGTATGTTAGAATACTGTGTGCTGAAAGCTTTCCTTTCAGTTTTATTTTAAAAAGTAAAGGAGTTACTATAATCTCATTACAGGTTGAAGAAGAAGGTTTGCAAATTTGTGTTGAAATATGTGGTTGTGCTCTACAACTTGACCTTCATGATGATCCAAAAACGAAATGTCTAATTTATAAAACAATTGCACATTTTTTGCCAAATGATTTGGAAATCCTCAGGATTTGTGCACTCTCGATATTTTTTCTTGAACGTTCCTTAGAAGCGTATCATACTGTTGAAGAGCTTTATAAACGTCCAGATGAAGAATATAATGAAGGCACAAGTAGTGTTCAAAATCGTGTTCGTTTTGAATTACTTCCAATTTTGAAAAAGGGGTTGTTTTTTGATCCTGAATTTTGGAACTTTGTAATGATTAAGAAAAACTGTGTTGCATTACTGAGTGACAAATCAGCAGTTAGATTTCTCAATGAAAGTACACTGGAGAATTGTACAGATAATCTAAGAAAGGCAGTTCAGCATCAAGGTTTAGCTGATGAGCGTGACTGTGTCACGGATCAGAGCGCTGCAGAGTGTGATCCTGATGATATGTCTGTAACGGACCCTAAAGGCCACATTAGTACAAAGAAAAGCCTTGCAGCTCTTAATACTTGCAAAGTAGATCACAGCGTCCCAAGGCATCGCTGCGTGTTATGTAATAAGGAATTTCTTGGGGGTCACATTGTAAGACATGCCCAAGCTCATCAGAAGAAAGGCAGTTTTTCGTGTGTAATATGTGGTAGGAGATTTAGGAACAGAGGACTTATGCAGAAACATTTAAAGAACCATGTTAAGAAGATACAAAGACAGCAAATTGCAGCTCAACAGGATGATCAGGAAATCACAGCTTTAGAAGAAATAAATTGTTCCAGTTCTTCCATTCAATTTGAAAATGGGAATTCTAACAATGATTTGGAAGTAGGGACTCTGACTACTTCCACTGACAGAAACAAAGAAGTTATATCTGAGCATGTTACTGAATTCATTGAAATGCCTATCGGTGTATCAGAAAGTATAATTGAAAATGACAGTCCTGATACTTCTTTACACAATGTCTCAGAGCCTTTACCTCCATGTGAGGGTGACTATGAAGAAGACGATGAAGAATGTGATTATGGAGAAGAAGATTACGACCTGAATCAAGATGCTTCAGTGCTTCATAAAATCAATGGAACTGCATGCCATCCAAAAGACATCTATGCCACGGATCACGAAGGAAACTTTAAGTGTCCTGCTCTTGGTTGTGTCAGGATATTTAAAAAAATTGGATTTCTAAATACACATGCAAGGACCGTACATCCAACTGATTTAAATGTGCAACAAACAGTAATGAAATGGAGCAGAGGAAAGTGCAAATTCTGCCAAAGGCAATTTGAAGATTCTCAGCATTTAATCGATCACCTAAATAGACACAGCTATCCAAATGTGTACTTCTGTTTGCATTTTAATTGCAACGAATCTTTTAAGTTGCCATTCCAGCTTGCCCAGCATACCAAAAGTCACAGGCTGTTTCAAGCTCAGTGCAGTTTTCCAGAATGCCATGAGCTTTTTGAAGAGCTTCCTCTGCTGTATGAACATGAAGCCCAACACTATTTAAGTAAAATACCAGAATCATCTGCACAGCCAAGCAAAGCAATTCTTTTGGATGTTTGTACAGACTCAAATCCTAATCCTTTGGAAACAGACTCATTTAGTAATGAAACACAAACTGTTAGTCTACCAGTTTCTACTAGCAAATCAAGAAAAGATTCTGCAGAACCAAAGACATGTATAGAAAAAATGTGTTTGGAAAAGAAAACAGAAAGTTTAGTTCAGAACGGAAATAAACATTCTGATGACACTCTTTCAAGTATAAGCTTGATAGACCAAAAGATGCCTGACATAGAGCCAAATTCTCAGAATAGTTGTAGTATTACTGATTCTATGAATGGACACAGTGAAGTACAACAAACATCTTTAGTTTCATCAGATCCTGTTATAAAAACTGATACAAACAGAAGGACAGAAAATGGTTCTATTTTGCCCAGTGTTGTTCCACAAGAAAATACTTTGCCAGTATCTCAGGCACCATCCAGACCAAATCTTACAAGTGAACATACTTCATATGGCTTAATTGTAACAAAGCCATATGTCAGACCATTGCCTCCCAGTTACCTTGATGAACGGTACCTTAGTATGCCAAAACGCAGAAAATTTCTGACAGATAGAGTAGATGCCAGTTCTGATCAAGATAACATTTGTAAAAAGTCAGTGAAAAGATTAAGATGCGGCAAATGCCTGACCACCTACTGTAATGCAGAAGCACTTGAGGCTCACCTTGCACAAAAGAAATGTCAGACACTCTTTGGATTTGATTCCGATGATGAAAGTAAGTCTTCTATATTCTCAGTGGATAAATCTGTAGAAATAGAAAGTGCCATAAATATAATAGTTCTTAATGAGGCTTAAAAAATGAACATTTGTGTAGTACAGATGCTAAGGTGTTATCCCAGACATTACTTTCTTTAATCTATAGTCACTATGAGGTGACATTAGTATTCCTATTTTGTAGAACAAAACAACCTAGGTTCACAAGTAACTTGCAAAGGCCTAGGCTTATGAGTTTGTGGAAGGTGAAATCTACTGGACAGGTTTTTCATGCATTTATCCTATTCTTTCACTGAATCAGAGGATTTTCTTCATTCCGGGTTTCATATACTAAAAGTTTTAAAAGCTAAATAATAATTCTAATAACTTAGAAATCATTTCTATGTATGCCACAATATAAATTTTCTGTTGCAAAAATAGAAGTTGGAAAAAGAATTTGAAAATTAAGACCAAAAGAAGACCTTAAATTTCTACTAATACAGTATCCTTTGAGTGAGGATATAAATCTAAAAAAAGCCAGCCAGATAGCTTAGCGAAGGGCTGGGTAGATGGCTCAATAGAATAAGTGTTTACCTGGCAAGCGCAAGGGTCTAAGTTCAATCCCTGGTTCCTCAAAAACAAAAACAAAACAAAACCAGATAGCTCAGTGGATTAAGGCGCCTACTTAGGCAGATGCAAGGACTTGGGTTCCATCCCCAGGGTGCCATGCAGGCCCCGCCCCCCAGGGCAGGCTGAGACTGGGCTTGGTGGCATGTGCCTATAATCCCAGTGCTTGGGAGGCTGAAAACAGGATCACTACGAGTCCAATCGGTGTAGTGAGACCCCATAGACCCTGTGCTAATGTAAAAAATAATAATTAAAAACAATTTTGACTTAGAATTCTGGTTGAGAGCCAGGTGTGGTGGCACACACCTATAATCTCAGCACTCAGGAGGCTGAGACAGGAGGATAGCCATGAGTTTGAGGCCAGCCTGAGCTACATAGTGAGTTCAAGGCCAGTCTAACTACGAAGGGCGACCCTGTCTGGGAAAAAAGCAAAATAAAACAGTTCCAGTTGAGTATCTATAAAATTTGAATTAACAGACTTGCTCTGTTTTACAGGTGCCTGATAAAAATGTTTCAGAAAGATCTGTCGATCCAACAGTAGTGCAAATAAAAGTGCTACAAGAAAACGCATCATCGGTTTGCTATTTCCCTGATGGCCTTAATTTTAGAACGGTCTCGGATTACTGAAGATAAAGACAAAGCACATTTTCTAGAATGAACTTGCAGAAGAGATGTGCTGGCTAAGACTCCAAAAGGGTTATTATATAACTCCCAAAGTACCAGTTATCCAGAAAACCACATTTTGTAGAAGTGTATGATGATTAATAGCAGCATGTTCAGTTTTGCTTCTGTGAAAACATGTTTGGGCAACTAGTCAGAAAGGAAAACCAGCCGTGGCCTTATAGAAAGGAAAAAGTTAATCCATTATACAAAAGGAGATGAAAGGGAAGCTGGTTTACAGTAATAAACAGTGGAAAGCATTATACAAATGAAATTTGTTTTGTTATACATAATCCAATTATGTCCTCCTGGTCACATGTTTTAAGGAACCATTGCTATTTGGTTTGTGATATAATTTAGAGGCTGATACATAGAAATCAAACTTATTTTATTGCCATGTTATCTATTGAAGATCATAACATTTCCAAATGGTTAATTAGATAGGTAAGAACTCAGTGAATGGCACAGAGGCATTGAAAATTAAGAGAACAATGCTTTACTAATAAGCTCTTATTAAAATCTTCCATTTTGTAATAAAAATACAAGTGCTTGAAACAAATGTTTGTAACACAAATCAGTGACATTTAAAAGGCAGCATTGTCAAAGAAAGTGAAAAGTACCATCAGTAACTGGCAGGATATGGGAGGAAGCTGAGACTATTACAGCCTGTATAGTTGAAAGAAAACACTGATTTGCAGATTCTTCAATGTGAATAATGGTTAAAGCACACTGGGATATTTCTATTTGTATATAGTGTTAGGACATTGCTTGGTGATTCATAGTAAGGTCCTATAGACATTAGTGTGAGTTATCAAAGTATAGTCCTATGAAAATAACTGCTTGAAAAAGTCAACTAAAAACAATTTGTTTTATTTGATTAGAGTTAATTCCAAATTAAGCCATATTCTTCATGCTTTTTATTCATTAGTGATGAATTTGGTCTGAATAAACATTTTTATATGAAAAAGGAAATATTTACACAAAAATGTACACAGCAGGAACATGATGAGATATATTAAAGCGTTATTTTCCCTGGTGACCAGTAATTTTCCTAAGAAAGATTATAACCTAATAATTTAAACAATAAATGTTTTACAAGGTAAAATTAAACCCTCTTGAAAATTTTCCATCACCATTATGGAAAGGATGGTAAAGATCTCCTTTTACCCAATAGCTTATGTTAATCCTAAAGAGGTAACAAAAATACAAAGGCAAATTCTTGGAAAACGGACTAAATACTCCAGTTATGCCATCTGATAAATTGTTGTTTAAAGCAGAGAGAGAGTCCCATGAGATTCTACTGTTAAAACTCCTAGGAATATTAGCTTCTCCAGTGATGTTAGTTTTCTTCAGGGTAGAATCCAGATTTTATCAAATTATGACTATCAGAAGATAAATTCTTAATTTTATTTATTTTTATGGACATTCACTACTATGCAATGATTGTCATAAATCCATTCCAATGAAATTTAAGTTTTTGTTTTGTTATGTAGCCTATATTAGGCTGGAATTTACATATACATAAGTAAACAAACTCATAAGCAAGTTTTTAAATATTTTACGGTCAATTTAAAGAAAATGTTTTCCATATTTCCTGGTAGTAAAAATGTATTAAGTGAATTTTATTTCAGTTCATCTTAAAAGTAAGTCTTATAATAAAAAGTCTGTTTGGAACCTGGTTTATTTGGACAATGAAGTTTTTTTTGTTTAAACATAATTTCTGCTTTGTACATGTTCCCAAATTTTTTCTCAGAATTTTAAAAATAACATTTGCCACAGTTTTTTTCTTTTTAGAAGTTGTAACTATTGACATAAATCTGTTCCCACAATTAATTCTGACGTCCACGTGAAGATGTTTTAAACATATTTTATCTATTATGTCCTTAAGTTTCATTTGAGGTTTTATTTCTACTTTTGTGTTGCTAGGAGAAAATTTTTTGAAAGATCAAACTGGTTTATATACAACTAAATCAAGGAATATATAATTCTATTTGATTGTGTTCTAACCTCTTTATATACACTGAAAATAATACCGAAAGAATGTGTGTATTTTGTTATGTCTACCTTCTAAAGCATAAGCATATATTTTGCTTTTGTGGGGTACATGAACTTATAACAGTTCTTATCTGGGACTCAAAAGAAAAGGAAGCTTTCTTTTTATTCTCAGCTTTTCTTGTTTTCTACTTCAAGGATATATCTTATATGGAGAAAGCTTCAAATAAAATGAAAAGGTTTTACATTAAGATTTCCTTCAAAAAATGAAATCCTGGGCTGGAGATATGGCTTAGTGGCATAAGCTCCTGCCTGGCAAGTGCAGGGTCCCAAGTTTTATCCCTGGTACCACAAAAAAAAAAAAAAAAAAAAAAAAAAAAAAATTAGATGGTAACCGTTTGCCATATGTAAGGTCAAGAAAAGAGCAAATCTGAATTTTTGCTGCTCAGACGTTATAGAGATTGTAGAAAAGACTGTCTGTGGACAAGGACACTGGTACTTTGGGCTTTAGCCATATTCATTATTTTTTAAAATTACCGATTATATAATGCATACATAATTTATATCATTGAACTTGTGATTATTTTCAAATCACATTGAAGGTTCAGACATACTCCTTTCACGTTTGGTCTAATGTATGAATGAAAAACCTAAAAGGGATGATAGTGTTTATTTTTTAATTTATTTGGTACTGTAAAACACCTTTTCAGAATGAGTAAATGCTGCGTATGCATTTTGAAATTGTTAATATGTGAAAGATATTACAGATTCAGCAAGAAAGGAAATTTGTGCTTCCTTGTTGAATATTAAATTATTTTACTTTGCATTTTATAAGTACAAATTAAAACTGAGCCATTGAACTGCAATAAATCAACAAGTGTCTCATTTCAAGAAATTTTGTACTGTACATAGATTTGTTCAATAAAACATTGTCCTTATTGATAAGTGTTCAGCTCTATGCAGTATGCTGATTTCAAGAGATACTAGGCTTAAGGTGTGTGCTAAATGAGAATTTTCAGTTATGTTTCATAAAAGAATGGGGGTATTTCAGTAAGTACTATATTCAAATTATTGAATGATTTTGAACCATATACGAAATACAGAAATCTAACAGTTTACATAAAGTAGACATTTTTCACATTATTTTAATTAATGCCTGTATACAGGAATAACAGCTGACAAAATTCTGGTTATGAAATTTATTTCAGATTTGTGATTTCAGTTTATGTATTACTATACAAATCTGGTAAGGATTTTTTTTTTTTAAAGACCAGTATTCTCCAAAAGCAAGACAGTGGATGGATTTTCTGGTGGAACTTAAAAATCAGAAGAAAAAGACTAAGTCACTGTACAATTTTAGTATATGCTTGTCATGTTCCACACACCTGCAGACCCATTTACTCTGGAAGTTGAGGCAGAAGGGTAGCTTGAGCCCAGGATTTCAGGGCAACAGAAGACCTCCTGTCTTAAGAAAAGGACTGAGTAGGCAGCTTCATAGTATGTGTGCTTAGCATATGTTCAGCCCTGGTTTCAGTCACTAAAACCAGGAAGAAAAATGAAGACATCATGATGAAAATTATTTCCTGTGAAGTATTTCAGTGGGGAAATTAGTAGTTTATAATTGATATTCTTGGACATGAGGGATTTATGGTCACTAACAAAAACCCTATACATTTTTTACTAAAATTTACAACTGGAAGAACAAGCATTTAAGGAAAAGATCACCTTTTTAGTGCAAATGAGATAGTACATAAAGTGAAAAAAGAATGAACTAAAATGACTTTTATATAGCACAGACATGTTCCTTTGAAATGGAAGCTTTTCAGTGCTGAGATCTAAAATTCTCAGTCTGATTCATGGCCATACGATCTTAGAATGAATGTCACCCACTTGCAGAACAGTCATTGTAAGGTATGTAGGCAAGTCGTTGGCTTTGGATAACTTTGCATTTCCCTCGTCAGAAACCTGAGGAATTCTGGACAAAATATTACTAAGTACATTTCCAAGGTAACCAGATTAAATCTTTATATGTTTTGTCCTACTATACCAGAATACATTACAGTGAATAATGTATGAAAGAAAAATTCATTTGACTGGAAAATCCAAGCAGCACTGTAGCATACACAATAACAGGAGCGGGAAAGGGGCTGATGTGCAGAAGAGGCAGGTGTGATGAGCAGGGAAAGCAGTGGGTGGAGTAGGTTCATCCTTTTATAACTGGACTGTCTCTGGAGACAACCCAGTCTTTCAAAAGCTGTCTTGACCCATGCCCACTGGCTTGAACCACCAGGCACATACATGATGGTTGCATGTGGCATACGGACATTTAAAGTCTGCCATCAGTAGTGCTGAGTAACTCCACCTGGGCAAATAGATTTTCAGTCTAACACCCCCAAACTGCTCTAACCAATCCTCACTGGAGAAGTATTCAGAATAGAGCTTATTGGAAGCAGCCAAAAAGATCTGGAGGTAACTGAATTCTCTGCTCAAACTCTAGCATGGTAGTTTGAAAGTTGTGGAGACTTCAACAATTACTAATATCCTAACTTCTGCCTTTTAAAATAAGGACACACCTATAATCCCAACTACTCAGAAGGCTGAGGCATGAGGATCCTGAGTTCCAGGCCAACCTAGGCAACACAGCCAAGACTGAGTAAAAATCAAAATAAGGTGGCTATTTTGCAAGATGATAAGAATTAAGTTTGGTGTGGAACAGTTCTTGTTATGATTTGGCTAAATTTCTCTTCATGTTTTGGTCATTGTTCTGTCTACAGTCACATTGAAAACCTTAACTGCCCTCATGTCACTTAATTCTACCCACTTTTTTGCTACTGATAATTCTTTTATTCTCTTCCTGTCCCTCCTCACTCTCTAATTGTCCTAAAGCATCACAAATGCTCCAGGAAAGCTCCATCTCTTAGATACTTCACTCAGTATTCCTTCTGTCAATAAGTGACAGCCGTAGGGACTCAAAACCTTTCAGTAATCTCGATGTGCTTCATTGGAATCGAAGGCATGCACCATTTTAGCTCCTAGGACTATGTATAGTCTCCGAATTGTGCTAGCTTTCCTTTATTCTTTTCAATTTCTTCATAGCAGTAGCCAAGTGGCCCTGCTTGAAACAAGTCAGGCCGTTACATCCTTCACTTTAGTGTATTCGCAACCTACCATGTGCCAAGCTTTGTAATAGGCAATGAAAAAACAGTAATAAAAGTCATTGCCTCTGCAAGCAGGCACAGGAGTCAGGGGTTCAATCCCTGGGCCTGCCATGCTGGCCCCTTCCCTGGGGCACACTGAGACAGCAATTGAGACTGGGCATGGTGGCGCACACCTGTAATCCCAGCTCTTGGGAGGCTGTAAACAGGTGGATCACTATGAGTCTGATCCAGCAGTGAGACCCTGAACACCCTGTAGACCCTTTCCTAAGATACAAAAAAAAGAAAAAAAAAGTCATTGCCTCACAAAGATATTGGGGGCAAGGTGGGGAAAGAGGCAAAAAAAAAAAAAAAAAAAAAAAAAAAAAAAAAAAATACAGTAAAAGTGACATGGAGAAAGAAGAGGGTAAGAACAAGGAAGGGGCCAGTCATGACTCTTCAAAAGATGATGCATCAAACCCTTTCATATGGTGGTTTTTTGTTTTTGTTTTTGTTTTTTTGTTTTAAGTATTGTCATTTGAAACCTGGGCCTTAACACTGTGCAACATCTTCTGCCCTTTTTCCCCCATTTAGTACAGGGTCTACAGGGTCTCACTAGGTAGATCAGACTCGTAGTGATCCTCCTGTTTTCAGCCTCCCAAGTGCTGGGATTACAGGTGTGCACCACTATGCCCAGCCTCAATCACCATGTTAGGGGCCCCCGGGGGTGGAGCTGGAACTGCATGCCAGTTCAAACCCAGCCACTGAGCTCTACCTAAGCAGGCGCTTTAGTCCACTGAACTATCAGGCCGGCCTTCTGCCCTTTTTAAAGATGTTTGTTTGAGATAATCTTGCTGAATTGTTAAGTAGCCCAACCTTTGCTTAAACTTGTGATCTTCCTGCCTCAGCCACCCAAAGGGATGGAATTAACATACCCAGCTTGGTAAAGTAACTTTGAACCTGGGACTCGAATACCATTAAGGGAATACCTGAAGAGATCTCTTCAGACATCTGGGGTAGTCTGTCGGGCGAAACAGCAAGAGCAATGGTATTGTGACAGGGACTTGCATGAAGGTGCAGACAGCGGGAAAACACTGCAACTAGCCTGGAAAAAGAAAGAAACAGGAAATGAAGTCAGAGGTAAAAGCAACAGCCAAACTCTGTATGATGGGCTAAAGTCTAGATCTGCACTCAAACAGTAGCCATTAGCAACATGTGGCTATTAAGGTTTAGCTGAAATTCACATAAAATTCAAAATTCAGTCCCTCAATTGCACTGGCCACATTACAGCCGTCAGTAACTTCAGGTGGCTACTGGTTACTGTATTGGTAGCACAGACAGAGACCACCATCTTTTGACATGTTGCTCTGTAACCTCTGAAAATATATTTAATAATACCTGAAGCCATTCTGCGTTCCGAAACTGAGAGGAAATGGTGTTATTCACCTAGTGGATAAAGCCAGATCTGCAGACCACCATACCACAATGCACAAATTAATCCCCGTAACAAAGAATTATTTTGTCTAAAGTGTCAGTAGCCCTGTATTTAGAAAAAAAAAAAAAAAATCTGATTCAAACTCCATTTCTCCAGCTATACTCCCAATTCACTATCCATGAATAGGTGGGGTTTTCCTCCATACACCAAGAAACTAATTCCGTTGTGACAAACACCAGCTGGCTATGCTCTAATTCAGTTCAGCTCAGATACCATCTACTTGTAGTATCAGATCCCACAGGCTGAGGGTTACCCCAAGACTCCATGTCCCTGGGCAGTTGTGCTTCTAGCCAGCTATAAATGGGAGTCCTCAAAACCTCCTTGGGATTCAGTTAATCTGAGTCACACAGTTTAGAAGGCTTAATGTACTGATTTATTATAAAAATATAAAATAAAAAAATTTGCATTCTCCGGATTTGGAAGAAGAGGCATGGAGCTTTATCTTTCTGTGTCACCAATCAGCCATGGGCTCTTTAGCTCAATGTAGATAGGAAACTGGCATGTCATGGATAGAATTAAGGAGGATCAATACTACAGATACTATACAATATTTACACGTGTGTCTGGTTTATTTCACTTATGAGTATATCTTCAGGTGGCATCCACTTAAAGGGGTCAAGTTTATCATTCTTTATAGCTGAGTAATATTCCACTATATAAAAATACCACA